ACTATCAAACCCACTTCTCTCTAGTGAGTGGTCTACCCAGAGGATGACAACATACTAGTGCTATCATTTACTCCTTTAGCTCAAGTAGGAGAGAGCTGAACTGTGGACTAAAGTTCCCAACCCTGCTTATGACCCATGTGGGTGATGGTACTATTCCAGATGATCAGATTTTTTATTTTTTCATTACTTTGTAAAAAGCCTAAGAAATTACATACTAAAAATCTACATTTTAAAAAAATTGATGTTGCAAAGTCAAGCACCCAAATGCCAGTTGTGACTGAAACCTTAATTTGGTCCTCTTGTGCACACGCATTAAGATACAGTCTTTAATTATATGCTCACATTCTCTTTTTCCACAGGGATCCCTAACTCATTCAGTGCACAGGCTAGACTGTGCTACTGTCAGTTTTCTGAAAATTCAGACCATAGGTGTCTCAAATTGAGTACCCAAAATTAGTGGACATTTTTCACCTTAATCTCTCTGAGCCTCTGTCCTCCATCTGTAAAACGTGGATAATACCACCCCTCACCTCAAAGTGGTGTGAAGATTAGTATCTTAGTGCTTCACAAACATTAATTAATTAGAGTGATGAGCACCATAGAAAAGTCCATGAGGAAATTAATAATTCTGTCTTCAAAGCAAGGTTTGAAAAGCATGAAGCAAATGAAGCACTGAATGAGCATAAAACAAAAGTGAATAGCTGCTCATTCCGTGTGTACTATCCATCCTGTGCACTGAACGAGGCAGGGATAATGTGGAAAAAATAGTATGTGATCATTTATTTTAGACTGTTTCGTAATGGATACGCACATGGGGGCTAAATAAAGATTGCACAGGCAACCTTAAGTTTGGTATTTCCTAACTTTTGAGTGTTTGACTTTGCAGCCTTACAATTCTTTTAGAGAGAGAGAGAGAGAGAGAGAGAGAGAGTAAACACTACACACACACTTGACATCCAATACACTTCTGTAGCACTTGATGAGAATTGCTTTCCCTCCTAAAAGTGCCACTAGTCATTATTTAATATTAGCTCTTAACAGGGATAGATTCAGGTGGGATGCACTAAACAAGGAAACTGTATAGATTGTTTGATATACCCTATACTAGCTCTCTGCTGAAGTAATAAGTGATTGTATTGCACTTTCTGGATGTTTCGATCACAGAGCAGAAGTTTTTATCACAGGGGAAAAACACCTTATTAACCTCTACTCTGTCAGATCCTCTCTATGTCCATATATGCAACACTGTCAGGAATGATCGGTGCCTCTTCTAGTTTATGTTATCATGCTCTGAACCTAAACCACTAAGGGGTTAAATGACTAACAAGAGAATAACTTGAATGGGTGATTTAGACTAACAACATACTGAACTCTGCCACTGTAGTTCCTACAACAGGCTTTTTGCTACACAATGACATGTCACTCTTTCCACAACAGAAATATCCAATAGTTCCAAAACATGGTTCCAAATGCAAACACTGCTTGGTTTACAATCAAAATCTTTATTTATAAAAATCACTTACCTGGCCAATTCCAATATAAAAAGTATTTCAGTTCAAAACTTCTGCATTTTTAAGATATCTGTCCTGCCACTGATAAGGTTTGTGGGACATCTCATACCTTCAATCCATGCATGCAACCTCCTCTAACTTCAAGTGGAGTTGTGTACATCAATTGAAGGAACAATAACACTTCTGAACGCATGTGAAAAATCATCCTCTTTTCATTAAGAGTTTGCAAAGAAAATTAAAGTACACAACTAGCATTTATTTTAAAGGCATCAAAATATCACAGAAGATATAGATCAAATGCTTTCACACTGCATAAAACAAACCTTCTCTTCCCTGACTGTTTTGTGGCAAAGTTATAATGCTATCCAGAAAAATCCAACGTTCCCACTCTGGACTAACTACCATACTACTAGACATGAGTTTATGTTTTTCATGCACATTTCATGTATTCCCACATGCTATGTTGCTGCCAATAATTTATGACTGATCTGCACCCGGGCTGCCCTTCAGCATTTTATTTAATCTTTGCAACAGTGATTTACAATGACTCATCATTAATACAAAAATGTACATGTGTGTTAACAAGTTTGGAAGGATCTAAGAAGGAAGGTAAAATTTTTTTGAAAGTTGTGGCTGAATGACTTACGAGCCAGCTGAAGAAAGGCAAAGTAAACCATAAATGATCTGTTTGCTGTTCCCTGCAGCAAACAATTTAGGCAAAATAATTTGTTCTCAGGCATACCTTGTTATAAAAAAATATATTAATAAAAATGTTGGGAAACATTTTCATGTATCACCAACACTCAAATTAGCTGTTCAGTGTTTATCCCACAGGTAGTTTTAAGTAGTCCTTTCCATGGCCTGCTCTCTCAGACTTTCAGTCATAACATCCATTTTTTGAAACTGCCTTTTTTGAAAGCCTGTGTACTGCATTTTGGCATTGCTGCCCTTTCAAAAATCAATGGGAAATCAAACATGGACACACAATTTAAAAATGCACTTCATCAGCTCTCCAGTTTTGAACCATTTGGGGGGAAATTGTCTCAAGAATGAATACTACAATTTAATTGTAACTCCATGGGAGAATTCTCAAACTGGCATCTGCAGTATGACTGCCCTAAATCCAGGAGACTTCAGTTAGACTGTATTTTGACCTGCATTAATTTTTTTCTTGCACATAGGGAGCTTATACAGACGTGTGTGACAAAAAAACAAAAACAAAAATTTCAATTATAGGGCAAGTTGGGTACAAAGAGAGACCACAACGTCACTCAGGATAAAAATCTACTAACGTTAGTTCAAAAGCATGCTGCGATCATTGTCTCCTAAAACTTTTTGTAGGCCATCCTAAACTGACATACTTGTCCATAGGAAATCATATACTTCAGTCAGATCCTCCATTCATACTTTCCCTTGTTGACTGAAAGGACTGACTTTTTATATTTCTCCTCATAGTTCATGGCCTTCATTCATGGGCTCAGCCTCCAAAGGTTCACCCAACATGAGATTTCTAACAAAGGCAAATATATAGCCTTGGAAGAACCATTTCAATATCTCTATGGCATACATACGGTAGCTATGCTCACAGAATATTTTTGCTAGCATATGAAAGATGGAAAGGAAAGCAAATGCACCTGTAGGAGCAGGATTTGAAGTAAGGGATGGTATGTGTTGACGTACCAACTGTACATAGCTACACATTTCCAGAGCCTCTCCAATGCAACAATCTTTTTACTCAGGCCATTATCATTAAGTAGGAGCCCTGGTTATCTACATGGCCCCTAAAATGGACAAAACCACCTATCATTCAACTTAAGGACAATAATACAAATTAAGATATTGATTGGACAAAGGGTGGTGTAATAAATCTATAACAAATAAAGATACTTTCCCCCCACTAATGATTTGGAATACTGAAACCGAATTTGCTATTAAAATATATCTGATGATATTTTTAGGACAACGTTATTTTTTATTTTTACAGTAAGTATCTGGAAGCACACTTCAGTATATAAGGTATTCTGTATTTTCCTTTAATCAGTGTCTTACAAGGCTGCAAAAAACAAAAAAACAAAACCTGATCTCCCAGGTCTGCTGTGAGGTCACAGAAATTGATAACCCTTACAAGCTATGCTTATGTGAGTCTGCCTGTGTCTCACAGATAGTGCTCTTTGTAAATTAATCCTCCAAAGGCAAATATATTGTAAGTAGCTTGTTATCTCTAAAGTACTAAATTGAAGAATACATGGGATTATATTGACAGAAATTACATTTTCTGTAATGGGGTTTAATATATCTGAAATCTCTCCGATAGGCTCCTAGTCTCTCTCACCAAGGAGGGTTTGTTAATGTAGGTGCAATGGACATCAAGACAAAATTTATTCACTAAAATGGATTAGGCCATGTAATCAGAGCTTCAGTAATATTAATCTCTGACACTTATTGAATGAAGGGGGAGGGAGAACAACTTTTGTCTGCAAACTGGCACTTCTGACTCCCTTCCCCACAGCAGGCTTGCAGCTTATGTTGGCAATTCCTGGGTATTACTTCAAAGAGGATAAGGTTTCCCATCTTAAACACTAATTCAAAAATATTAGAACAATTAATTAGATATACTTAGTTTCACAGGGTTTTAGGTTTTGATACACTTCAAATGTGACATTTGTTCTGCTATTTTGTATGAAACCTGGATTTCAATAACAGTATTGTTGCAGTAACAAAGGGTAATAAATCATACTTTTAAAAAATAGTCTTGATGCCACAATTTTGTACTTAAATCGGAATACTTTTGGCTGGTGCAGAAACCCAGCCACAAATAATAAGCAACTTAACATCTGATTCAGATACAGCAATGGTTTTATTTTCTAAAGCTGTCTCTGTTATAACAAATCAAGGGTCCCAACTATCCTTACTTTTAAATTAATAAATTAAACACACAATTTTTTCCCCTGTAATACTTCAGTGGGGAAAAGGCAGATTTTCCTTAAAGTTTGTTTCAAGATTTTCTTTTCTTTCTTTCTTTTTTCTTTTTAAAAAAACTCAAATACACTGAGAAGATCCCAAAATAGCTTTTTGTTAGTCAAAAATAATAATTTGATATAAACGGTGATGGACTCAATCAATACAGCCTGAAGAAAATGTACAGAGTGGTGTCTATCTCACTTACGTTTTCTGGGTCTCAAGTGATTGATTTCTTAAAGGATGGGTGGGCAGACACAATTATATCCAGGAAAAACACAGACATGCATATAAACTGAAATGTAACTATTTAAAGAGCTATGGGAAAGTAAATACTATATGTTTTCTGCAGTACTAAAACTATAGTTCCCACAACTGAAATCATTCTGTAGGCTACATACATTTGCATCAATAAACTTCCACGGAAAGCTGGCAACTAGGAGGGCGTGTCAGCAGAATGCCAATCATTAGAGGCAGGTTGCTAGTGGTCAGAGTACTGACTGTGGGTAAACACTAAATAAAATTACTTACCAATTGTTCACCTGAAGTATAGTGAGCCCTGTGTCTTGTGCCAACTGCTTTTTCTGTTCTTCTGAAGGGTAAGGGTGCTAAAAGATACCAAAATAAATATATAGATTTAAAATGATGGTTTTACTCACTTTTAATTAATAATAAAGTCTGACGTCTATTTAAAAAGGTGAAAATGCTGAGGTGTGTCACTCTTTTGTAATTATTAATGGGCTACTACATCATTTAATTAATGGCAGTAAAAGACAAGCCAATTATAAAGATTAGTGAAGTGTAGAAATAGCTGCTTAGGATACTGGCAGTACCTTGATACTCAGTGTGGATATTTGTTGCAGTATCACAAAGTTTTGTGATCGTCTTATGGGAATTATTAAAGTCATGTGACTGAGGGCTTTTTCAGCATTTCACCAAATAATGAAGAAAACACACACACACTGATATATATATCAGTGTGTGTTATATAGATAGATAGATATATCTATCTATATAACATATAGCTATGTTATATAGATAGATAGATAGATAGATAGATAGATATATAGATATATATATATATAAGCACCACTAGAGTCTGATTTAATGAAGGGAAATCTTATCTGTGCCTGAAAATAATTTGCAAATAAAATCAGCATCTTGAACAGCAACAAATGCTGGGATTTTGAACATAGGCCAATATAAGGTCAATGATCAGCACATTTTTGTCTGACATTAACATAGCTGTGCTACACTAATCATGAGAGACAGAAAATAAATACTAGTTTAAATGAAGACAATATTAAAATTAAATCTTAAGTTACATTTCTTGTGAAAACTTGATTGCTTTCTCAGAAAATTCACTTATGCATGAATACAAATTACCGGTACTTAATAAGTTAAAAGCAAAAACCACATCCAAGTCTGAATTTAGAAACAACTTTGCCAACGTCGTTTTCCTTGATGTTAAAGTATTATTGTCCTTAAAGAAAATGAACCAAAACCACAAATACAGCAATCCTCAGGAAGAAATGTCTTTTAGGGTAATCTATTCTGGCCCTATACTATAGGTAAAAGTACCACTAACTTGAAATTTAAATGCCAGAGTACCTGGGACTAACTTCTGGTCCACTACATGATAAAGTTATTTTAAAATTCCAGTAAAATTATTTGATAAAATAGATTTGACATGTCCAAACAGCATGTTAACAGTTGCAACATTCTTTACTGTATTATGCACACATCCACTTTTCCACAAAACATACCACTGTTCTTTGGCGTTGCCATTAGATGCAATATTACAAAAGATGTAAACTAAAACTTTTTAAAAATATAGGAATTTATAACTCAAAATCCAACGATCTTACTTCTATGATACCTATTGAACACGTTTTACATACTACTCTGAACCACATAACCGGAAATCTAATAGCTATGTTATACTAATTGACATTACTGAATTACCTCATCTTACAAACTATGGACTTTCATAATTCAATTTGTTTTCTCTGGTCAGTTTGTCCAACAGAACAGAAAGCACATTGCAGTGGACTCTAACACTAACAGAATATGCCTATGACACAGAAAAATGATTAACATGACTTTTACCCATCAGTGGTGGAGTATTATATGTAGACTGAATATATCTTATATACTTTCCAATACCAATATATTTTTGCCTTTTGAAAATGCTTCCAGGGCAGCTCCATACTCCTAATTATATCTGAGCTACATTTCCATTAATGACAAGTATACTTTTATGGGCATAAACATGACACAACCATTGAAAGAACATTCATAGAAACTATTTTGAATTATATTATTTGTTAAATGTGCTGATAGCCACTCCTTGCTGAGTTTGCTAGCCACCTTTCAGTTCTTTTATGCTCTATGGTCACAGTATCAATGCCATTTAAGTTTAGAGTCAATGTAATTGCCGCTGCAATTCATTTGTGCTTTATTTTCAGAAACATGTTTGTACTTATATACTACGCAGCAAACTGTTGTATTTTAGTTATGTCCATCAACTTGATCTTAGTCCATTAGAAGAACCTGACCATTCAGCTTGAAATAGCCTCAGTATTCTCTTCAAAACCTTACTATGAAGATTTGTAGACTTTCATTTTAGTTTTACTTCTCATTTTAACTTTACTATCATAAAAGGATATGCTTTATTTTCTTATTTTGCTTTGTCACCTTGCATGTGATCTGAGTTTAAGTAATTGAACAAACTGTGTCTAATTTTATGTAGCAAGCAATAATTACTAGATAGCCTCTAGCTACTGGAATTGAGAACTCTGTCTCCATTTAGCAATTTTCAGTTGTTCTGGATTTTTTTCCAAATAGTCAAGACCGGATAAAATTAGTCATCAGAATAATACAGCCACTGTATAAATAATTGCTTTAAGTGTATCAAACAAAATTCCCTAAATCACGGTATGTTTAAGGTCATCTGATTTTTTCCATAGTCTAGTTATTGGCTTAATGTAGCATAAACTTTGAATTTCATGAAAAATCTATAATTGTTATAATCACATGAAAGCCATGACTTGATGTGGCTAATCCCTCTCAGCCAGAAGTTCACAATGAGGTAGGCTTTTTATACGGAGACTCAATATACTTAAAATATCTTGAACACTGTGCATCCTTATTATATAAGCTATTTGTGGATACTATGAGTTGTGCCTTTATAGGCTTAAAAAAAATGACTTGACAACTAATCAACATGCCACAGGCTAGGTTGCTATAAAAACTTTCAAAGCCTTGTTGCATTCCTACCCACCGGGCTAGTAAGGCATATGCTACAGGCAATGGCAGACATCACATTGCAACAGAGATAAAGGGGAAAATCCTCAGAACTGCCATTTTATGAAGAAATAAGGAAATTCATTCTGTACTATTGCTGTTAATACTCTTTTCACATATGTAGCAGTAATAGATAGTTTCCATGAGAGTGCTCCTTTATTAATTTTGTTTAAAAGGGACAAAGACACTCTTTAAAAAAGTCACTTATAAATGTAGCACTGATTCCCGTTGGCAAATATACCTAACACTAAGATCACTTTGGGATATCAAAGCAAATTGGACCACTGTTCAATAAACAGTGACTTGAGACCTTTACTTTGTTATGTACATTAGCCTCATACCATTATCTCTTAAAAGCTTAATTATTTGCAAACAATTGATCAAGATGTGAATTTGAGAAAGGAATGCTAGGACCACTGGGAGAGCTGCAACGCATTAGGAGAGCAAACAAAATTACCTTTAGATCTCACAATAAGAATTAACGATTGGGACCATATATAGGGCAGTGCAGTAGCTGAAATGTTCTTTCTGGAGTGTTTTCCATTTGATCTACATTAACACCTCAAGAATGAATGAAAGCTATAAAACAGTGATTATGTAGGGTAAGGCTAGAATCAATCCAACACATGTATATTGGGAGATTGCAGACTAGCTTTCCTGTGGAGGCTGGAGGAAAAGGGTGCTTCCAAGAGATACGCTCTAAGAATTATTTTGGGAAAGTTCGATGGTCTGTGTTATGCAGAAGGTCAAACAAGATAATCACATTGGTCCCTTCTGGTCTTGGAATCTATGAAAATAGGTAGCTAGTAGGGAAACAGAAGTTCAGAAGAAGCCAGGCTTACACAAATAAGGACTAAGGCATTACTGTAAAATAATGGGGCCAAATTCTACTTTTTTCTATTCAATGGGTTGCAGCAGTGTTACAGCGCAACATTTGGCCTATCGGAAACCTACCACTTGTTCCTTACTATAAACCTAGTACTGAAATGTGGATTGTTTGACACTATTAATGTGTTTTTGCGGCTCTGTGGTATTACTTGTAATAATGACTTAGTACAGAAGTGATTGCTTAATAATCCCATCTGAGCCTGCATGCAAATGAAAATTTAACCCTAGGGAATCTACCCAGGGCAATATAAACAGTTAAGGAACATTTGAAAAGGTAAAAATAACTTACAGAATTTAAGTCAGAGCAGTCATTTTAGCAGTAACAAAGCAATGAAACTGACAGAGAAAAATGTAATTTTCCATTATGTTTTCTGTGAACAGTTTAATAAAACTGTACTTAGAGAGTAGCATTCTTGATAGAACGTGGTGTTGTTTTGTTTTTAAAATCAGCAGAGAACTTGTTTAACCAAACAATCAATAAGTCTTCTTTATTCTTTGACTACAGTCAATAGGTAAAGAGAAACTCTACAGTAAATACAGATGGAAAGTGTCCAGACCCATATCTTAATGATACTCCTTGTCCAAATGTACTCCTTTCATCAAATTTTCCACTACTGACTGCAAATGTGGATGCCAGGACAGTGATACACTTTATCTTATCTGCCCTGGTAACCAAGTATCAATAACATTCCCTCCCTCATTGCTTTGCCCACTATAACAGCACATTGTAATGGTTGCAGAAAAATGGAAAATAATCCTGTACAGAGCTTGCTGCTGAGATAATGGAAGGCTAAGCTGTCCCTTCTCAAACCCCAGATTAGTAATTTCTTGTGACATAGAACTGCCTCTATACCCAAACTGCAAAACAGCTGTAACAAAGCACAGAGATAGAAGCAATTTTCAAGCAAAATGTTATATGTTATACTTTAAAAGGTATGGGAATAGGCACAGGAAGAACTGATCTAATATGAGGAGTTATGGCAACTGTCCAATATAATAACCCTTATCAAAGCATGTTCTGTTGCTTGGCTGAATATGTTGGGAGAACAATTTCAGAAGTTCTTTTATCCTTTTCCTCCAGTCCTCTGCCTCCTCCACAGCTAAGTTTAATGCATTTATAGAAGATGACCTTGAGCTAAACTCTGGTATGTGATGGAGAGATACTTACTCCCCCCAAAAAACTCCCCCCTCAAAAAAAGTCTACCACATGGACTTTCACTATATTAACCATTACATTCCTGTATTATGCTATAAAATGTTCTAATGAAAAGTTTTTGAATTTATATATAGTCTTATTTTAAAGATTCTTGCTCAGCTATATTACGGGTCTAAACCTAGCTGTTCAATTAATAAACAGAATAAGTAGGTGATCTGGATAATACTGACAAATTACAAATCAGTTTTACAGTTAACT